ACCTTTACGGTCGTGACGGTCGGCACTCGGAATCATTATAGAGCGTGAAGAAAAAGCGGCGAAATGCCGGCTGCACTTTTAGCAGATAATAAAATGTTAATTTACAGTTTTGTGACGTCAACCTGGCATCATTCTCCATAAAAACAGATCCGTTAAAGTCGCGTGTGCGTGTGTTATATTGCGCGACCCTCCCTCTCTTGTTGTGTGCACCATTTTATGGTCTATTACCCGGCCCTAAGAACCATTTATTTCAGCGTCCATCGCCCGCCGCCGGCTATTTACTGCTCGCCTAGTTATGGTTTTGTTTTACGGCGATCCCCCTTAAATATTTGCGAGCGGCATTTTGCTCGACGGCCGTGTCCTGCCGGTTGCATACCTTTGCGACCGCAAACGGCTTCTGGACCGGGCCGAGGATATTTTAAAATCAGCTCTCGGCGTTAAGGAATATGGATATGGGGTGTGTTATTGTGTCGTAAAGCCACAGCCTCCTTCATCGGAAATTGTTGTTATCGCTTTGAAGCACTATGCGGTCAGCCTGTTCACAGAAGCGTGGTTTTTAACGCACACAAACGGGTGCGAATATTTGCCAGAAAGGGCTTTTCGACCTGCTGGAGCGCGGTGGCGAACACTCTCCGTGATGGAGGTGGAATTGCTCTTCGCCCAAATTCAATAAAATGAAAGAGAACCATACAAAAGTTCTGTGATAAATTATTTGCTGAATTTTCACTCAAAACGGCTTTTTAGGGGGGCTACTTTTCAATAAGCAAATTCCTTCAGCGTTTTGCTGATATAAGTGGAGAAAAACCATTTGAAAAATTTTCAGAAAACGAAACAAATTGATGTGGTTTACCTTAATATTTTTGAACCTTATATGCGAGTTTGCTGATTTTTTTTCTGCTGTTTGAAATCAACAGTATAAGTTTCATAAGAAAATTTGGACGTGGGAAAAAAAACGTTAATTACCGAATTTAAAAAACGTGATTCCATGAATTTAAAAAAACGGGTTATCTGCTCATGAGTATGCTCACCACAGAGGGTACTCAATCGCATTTGCTCATGAGCATGCTCACTTGCATGTGCTCATTGCTCATTCTCAATAGACCCTTGCTCAACGCTGCTCATGAGCAAAATTCGGCTCAAATCTTGCTTATGAGTAGCTCGTGCTCAGATTCCCTGTGTTAAATTTCATGTGCTCAAATTGTCTTTTCTAGTTTCAAGGAACATTTTCTTCCACGAAATCTGGGTGCTGCAAAACCTCTAACCATCTCCAAAAACAAAAACTCTGCTCTGAAAATAACGAACCGCATTTATTGCACACAGAAAAAAGCAAAGAAAAAAGAGGTGAAACTTTTGTGCTGGTAGGGTGCCCGTAACTAGTTGTTAAAAGTTGGTGTGTGCGCCCGGCGTTTAAGAATTTCGCACAGACCTCGATATTTATCTCAAAAGATTCTCTCGGCGACGGTGGTCCAGGCACTTTGGTATTGTTCTTGGGCCCGCATTCCTCGAATAGTCGGCCAGATTTGTAAACACACACGCGGACGACCGACTCGAGACAATTACGTTCGCGCTGCGGGAATATAAACTAGACGCGAGCAATGCCACATGCCCACTTACAGAAATAACAAATATCCATTGTGTATTCCGAGAGGTAAACATCGCCAACGCGTGTCCGCGTTTGCTGCGACTCGGCCCGAATCGTTTGCGAGAGCGCCAAGGTAAATAATTCAACCCACCCGCTGCCCACCAGGCTGCACAATTATTGGGATTTATTTCACACGAATGTGCGTCTTTGAAGAAGAAAAGTCCAGAAGTAAACTGGAGCAGCAAAAAAGAAATGAAATTTAAGGCGGATACAAAATCTCATGGTGTGTTGAATATTTTGTTTGGTTGTGTTTTTAAATCATTTTTTGATTTGTAGGAAAAGAGAATCAGAAATAATTTTCTTCACTTAATGACTGAAAAAATCATTAGGGAAAAGCAATTTTAGATAATTTAATAAAAGTACATTTTTATTCATTATCAACAAGAGAGGAAAGCTTTCAAGTATTTTTTTTAACATAATTTGAAATTTATCTAATATCTTTGAATTAAATACTTTAATTAATTAATTATCTGAAATTGAATGTAATTACAAGGATTATTTTTTTTATCTTTGCTGAACATAATTGTGTTAAATATTTTATTGGGGCTAGACCGGTTGGACATACCAAAAGCCAAACCAGGCCTAGACTAATTTAGCTTGCGATCCGAATCACTTATTGGTGGAATAATTAGCCTGAGCAGGGTGAGACTTTTGGATAGCCCAGGTCTCGTTTTTTTTTTTTATTATCATTGTTGTTCTTTATTTGTCCACATTGTTACAAATACATTGTTACATTCAATTTTTGAAAAACAATTATTTAAGAAAAAGAGATTGTAGGACAAAAAGGCATCACCACTAGCAAAAATTTTGCTAAAACTTCCGAGATCAAAAAGACCCCATCCGCCGCAGTGAGTCTCTTCTATTTTTCATCTCGGACAAAAGAAACTTATTGTTTTTACCATTTCTTGTTATTTATTGTAAATTATCTTCACAATGGTTGCAGTTCATAATTCACAAATTTCGCTTTTGGAAATCTGGATCTGAAAGTAAAATAAGACCAGGGCAAAACTTTGCGCTGCTTGTTGTCACAACCACGAGGACTTTTGTTGGAAAAGGGCCCTTATCGTAGCACTTGGTCTAATTGCCCACGCGCTCCTTCCGGACCTAACTCAAGGACTCTGGTCTTTCCAATATGCAAATTGCACTGCTCTGTTTAAGAGCCATATAATTTACACACAGAATTGCTCTGGAGCGTCTCGCACACACATGAGCGCATCTCTCTAGAACATTAATACATATTATTATTTTCGCCAAGAGACGCGGTCTGCTTTCCAGTTGATGAGTAAAAAATAAAGAGCATATTATAAGTAAGATTTTGTTGTTTATGTCAAAATTTTAAATCATAAAAGGTCTCATTTTTTTATTAACCTCATGCAAAAAATGTGAAAAATATTTAGGCAAAAATTCAGCAGTTATAAATTTTGATTAAGAATAAGCAAGAAGATTAAGTCTTTTAATATTAATTAATCATGTTAAAATCAAATAATAATTTACGTGTTGAGAACAATTTTTCATTTTCCTAGGAAGCAAGTTATTTTGTCAATTGCATTTCAACATTCGTTCTCTTCTCTCCATACATGTCAAAGCGTTTTGGAGCGATCTTGATTTTACATTTCACATTCACGTCGAAGGATATAAACGTCTGCTGAGAAATAAAGATAATCGACCTAGATATGCCACCGAGGAGAAGTGCATAAAAGCAAGGTAGCTTTTGCAATTGGCCATTAATCACAAGTCAAGAATTGTGTCTAATTTATTGCAGAGAGCATCCGCGAAAAAGTTGAAGGATCGCTCTTTCTCTCTCTCTACCTATTTTTATTATACCAGAGATAAATAAATATATATGTATTTCCCGTCGGTGCACTCTCTGACCCGGCGTCAATAAAAACAGAAAACGCGACACGATGAAAAAGTGTGATGTGAAGTGGCGCTGCCGCCGGCGCTGCTCTCCGATGCAGATTCGCACGAGTGCCCATTCTGATTGGCTGCTGCTCGGCGAACTCAATTTTGCCGGCGCGCACAACCAACACTATATGTACTTTTCTATATGTTTGTGAGACGAGGTAGGGTACACCGTGTTATTGAAGCACGTGACTCCATCTCGAGAAAAATGCCTCCCATCCGTGATGCATTAAAAGACTCGTCTCTCTCTTTTCTATGCTCACTTCGCCTTTAACCCGCAGTTGCGCGCGTTTATCACGAAATTTAGGTCAATCCATTTTTATTATTTATACATGGGATGCATAAAGTGCAAGAGAGGTGACTTCTTTTGCTGCTTCCTGATTCATGATCGCTGCTCCTCCTCTCATGGGTTTGACGCTTTTGACTGAAAATATTTTGTCGGAACGATATGATTTTTTGATTGGAGATTCATTGGATAATAAATTTTTCAAAATTTTATAAAGACCCTGTAAATTTGTAGATCTAATGAGAGAAAATGAAGGATTTTGATGATGAATAATGATCATAATATTAGTTCTGATTTAATATACTTGTTTATTTATTTAATAGCTCTTAATTATTATAAAAAGGTGCGTTTTGTTCGTCCTTATGTGTTCTAAAACTCACTTTTATTGATAAATATAAAAAATAGAATAGGATAAGCAATAAAATAAAGCTAAATTAAGTGCTTTAATTTTCTTCATTATTGGCTAAATCATTTCGCAGCAGTCATGTTATACAATTTTCAAGAACCGTTAACTTTATGAATGGAAAATCAAAATTAAGTGTTTTATTTCTGTGAATGTGACTGTTTTAGTACCGACTGGCGTTAATCCTTTCACTCATCTTGCTTGTAGGCACAGATAATTAATTTCTTTTTTAATGTGTTCTCTGGAACGGAAAGAAGATAAATAATTGCTTTCTCTTTCTTGCGGACAAGCGATCTAAGTGCGATGAAAAATTTTACGCCTCGTCCCCCGAGAGAAGAAGCGACGCTTTATCAATCAGCACCGAAAGCAATTATGGTTATAGGTTGGCGGAGCGACGGCGGTCGCAGGTGTTAACATCGTTGCGTGCGTTGTAGACACTGATTTCCTGATTCCCAGGGGCTGCGCCGAGGCCGACCAAACGACGACTGGAGCAATCATCAATCTAGAGAGTCGAGTTCAGCATCCGACCGATGTGTGCGAAAAAGCAGGAGATGAAAAGAAGGAAAGAAAGAAAGGAAAGCGTGCACTGCTTTTTTTTCAATTAAGAAGTGAACAACTAAAATTGAAATTGTGTTTTTTCTCTCTCCATTCAAAATTTCTTGAAACCCCGCTCTGGAAAATGAGGTTTTTCAATTTGCGGGATCAAAAGGAATTGGAAAGCGGCGGGATGAGACCCAGGGAGGCAAAAAAAGAAAAAGACGCAGCAGTCGTATTTTCTAAGCCATTGCTTTAATTGCTGTTTGTTACACCAAACACAACTTCCCTCGCGTCAAGCGCGCTCGGAGATTTTTTTCGCAGTTGGCTCTGCCCTGTTTTGCGTCAAGAAGAACGAAAACGGTGAATGTCGGATTTTTCCACAACAAAAAACGTTTTACAAGTGGAAAAAAAGATAGCAAGCCACGCAGAATGTAGTTGGTGTTGCGTACCATTTTTTCACACACTGTTGAGCATTTTTTTGAGCTTGGCAAAAGAGAGAAACTGGAGACGGAAACTTAATTTGGCAGCAAACTTCAAAGAGAATAATTAACTCTGATTCGCAAAAAGACTTTTGAGGAATTCTGCGTGACTTTCAGCAAAATTTTTTTAAGTAAGGCAACACAAAGTGGCTACATAAATTAATTTGTACATCATACATAAATATACACGTAAACGATAAATTTGCTACGAAATTTGTGTGAGTTCATTTCTTGGTATTGAGACAGCAAATGTTATTTTTGTCAGGAGATTCCGTGCGGGTTATTCTAATAAAATCTTCTTTTACTATCAACTATAAAGACAATTTTTCGTGTTTCTTTATAAAATTTCAATCGCAAATGGTAATAAGAACAAGTGTTCGTATATATCTTTCCACGCACTGGGAACATTTTTGCACATTAGCATACAAATAAATATTTTTATAATACATAGACTTTAATCAGCTCGAGAGAGATAAAATCTTTTGGCTTCCATTCAACAAATCTTTAGCGAATTTCGGAGAGGGTCGTCGGCAATAAAGTTCTTATGTCCATTGGACCACATTTGAGCATTTGGCGCGCGCCTTAAAAGCGTCTTTCTTTCTTTATAGCACTTGTAGAATCCGTTTCAGTCCAACAAGCACATTTAACAAAAATACACTTTTTCTCTCTCCAACATTTTTTCCTGGCACACTGATTCGGGAGAACGTTGTTTTTCAGACCACTTCGGAGCTCCTTTTTTATGTACGGCTGTTGCGCCGAATCTAAATGCAGTTTTTTTTAACAGTCACAAGTGTTTTTCTTGAACAAACACTTCTTAGATTTGCGTGATTTGCTCGGAGTTGCTGAGAAACTCGATGCACATTTCGGCCGGTATCGTTTTCGAAGCCAGACCGGAATTCTGAAGGTGGAGAACAACCTCGGCCTTGGAAACGATCAGATCGGGCTCAACTGAAACAAAAACAAGAAATATATCAAAGACAAATTAATTGAAGCTTGAAAAAATGCAATTATATATTGGTTTTATACTTGATGATCACCTATTGAAAAAACTTAATTTTTATTGTGTTACACAGTTTTTTCATTCAAAGATACAATAAAGTTGGATAAAAAGAAAATGATTTTAAACTAAAAAAAAAAAAAAATTAATAATTAAAATAATAATGATGATAATAATAATGAGCTAAATGTTAAGGTAAACAGCAGTCTATTTTTATTTTTAAAAAAGTCGAAATTCTGACGAAAATTAAAACTATTTTTAATTCAATATCATTTCTAGGAGACTTTCCGAGGCGCTAAATTAATAGAAATAAGATTGATTGTAATCCAAGATGGTCAACACTCCCCTGACATTCTTAATTAAAAAAGAAAATAATTCCAAAAGAACTACCTCACACTTTTAGGGGTTCAATGCACAATCGTGGTCCGATATGCTGTATTGCATTTTCAACCCCCGAAAAAGCGAAATAGTACTTTGGGAATTATTTTCTTTTTCGAATTAAGATTGATTGTATAAACAATTTTTAAGAAAGGTTAACTAAAAGCCAACTATATTCTGATAGAAATATCAAATTGAATAGTCCAAAATTTTGAGAATAAAAACTGACTGTAATGAAGTTTAAAAAAATTAAATTAATTTTGTGGACTTTTAATTCAAAGAAGAGTTGTCTGTCCTTTGCTCAGTAAAAATTGCTCTATTCCTTCTACTCACAAAACATTTAATTTATTCGTTCCATTCTTTATTATTTAAAATCTCTCTTTGTGAAATAATTGAAAAAAAATTAAAATTTTTAATAATGACAGAAAAAATTAGATTTTGAAATTGCAGAGAAGTGAACATCCCACGAAACGAATCTAACGTTATTACCGTATCAGAATGGGAGACGCAGAGCAATTTTCCGGCTTTTTCATTTTGGAAGAAAATTACAAAACTTGCTCGCCGAGTGAAAATCACCAAGGGGCACTGGGCGTGCAAAAATGTCGCGAACACGCACTACTTTCACGCTCGCATCTGCACTTCTGGGTTCCACAAAAGACTCTACTTACTTTGCTCTCTAACTCGTCGGCATAATTGCTCGAGAGAAGAGACAAAGCAATCGTCGTTTTTTCTCTTTCTCGCAGTTGCCGAGAGCTAGCGAAGGCAAACACAGTGCGAACTTTGGCTGTGAATGTTTGCACAGAGGGCAAAGGTGCTAAGACGCCGGTGCTGCTTTTTCTCGTCCTCGCAACTGGAACGGAACCTAATTCAATTGTTGGCCAACGATTGTTGCCGAGTGACACTAACACGCTCTCAAAAGCACATTATCGCTGAATGCAATCTGCGCCAACGAGTTCCTCAACACAAGGTGGCTTTTGTTCTCGTCAGCGAGAGAAATGAGTCGCGCACGCCGAAGAGTTTATTTTAATTATATCCGGGGCTGGATTTAAACTTGAGAAGGGCAAAAGTTTGCGCGGTGTTTGCCGTTGCTGTTTGAATTCAACCCTATGAAGTAGTGCGGCCTAAGCAAGCAACTAAGTTTGGCCTCTCGATCTATTGTGGAAGGAGATATGTGTGCAGTGCCAGGAGTGTGTGTGCTGCATGCGGTCGCACACCAAAGTTGGAGAGTGCAAATTTTTAGCGTGTCACTCAGGACGTGGGGCGAGATTTCTTTCCGAGAAAGTTCTGCTGAGGTCGGAAGATGAAAATGGCAGAGGAGACCGAAAGCGAAGCGTGAAACTTATATTAAATTATACAAACGTAGCAACGGCCCTTTCGCTCTACAAACATTAACAAAGTTTGTATTTTAAAAATAAATTCATATAAAAAAAAATTAAATATGAAAGCAAAAAAAGTTTGAATTGTATATATTTTAGAATATTAAGCTTTGAGACAACAGGTTGGAAATTGCTTTTTATATTTGTTTTATATATATTTTTTTTTATGTTAAATAAAAAAATCTTTGTTTCTTTCTTTCTCTTAATTCTGTCTGAAGTTGGTTTGTTATGATGAAAAAAATTAAATAGTAAAATAATAATTAAAATATATTCATCAAAATATAATAAATAACTTGCTAAAATGGAATTCTATCTTACCAATAACAATTTTACTTCATAATTTTTCTATTAAAATTCAAACATAAAAATTGTCTCTTTTTGAAATAAATAGAAATTTCTCACCAAGACCAAGGCAATAAAAAAAAGCTGAAGAGTTCAAACCGGGCGAATCTCGTTGCAAGTTGCAAAGAAAAATGAAAAAAAAAAAATAAATAAATAAATAAAAGGACAACTGACCCCAAAAGGCGACCTGCAGTCTGCTAGTAGATTATTAAAATTATTTGGTTACAAATTAAATTCTCCCAAATTAATTTTTAATTTTTTATAAATTCCAATTTGAGGTTGGTTGTCCTTTTATTTATTTATTTTTTTCATTTTTCTTTGCAAGGAAGTTTTCCCGGTTTCAATTTTTCATGAAATCTTTTGCTTGTTTGCATTTAATGAAAAAAACTGCACGAAAGTAGATTTATAAATTTTTGAAAGCATTGACAAATTTTGTCCACTTTATCGACACATAAAAGCAACGGATCAAATAAAATATTCAAGGAAATTCGAAATTCCTTACATTATTGCTGCCTCAAGAAATTAATTTATCTTCCAAGAGTGTTTTTTCCTTGCTTTGGTTAAAATTGTTAAAAAACAGCTTCTTCTGCTCTTCTTTGGAGCGCCGCAATGGAATTCCATTAACGTTACAGCCAGAAACACAATACGCGCGCGTCCAACTTTTCCACGTCGTACAATTCGCGAGTGTGCGAGTTTCAAAATTAATTCATAACTTTCCTCTTTCCCTCTCTCGCCGACGCTAAAAAGTTTTCGCCTGCCACGGCCGCTCTCTTTCTCGTTGCCTCCCCGACGTGTTTATTTAAATCCATCTTTTAAAAGGCGGCCATTAATTTATTCATTTTCATTTCCCATCCTGAATGGGCGCTGTTTTATTGGCGCAGAAACTTTTCCTTCCACGCAATTGCCACTTTTCGTTCGCCAATTAGCCACCCACTAGACGCAGATTCAAATCTGATCGCCCACTTCAGAAATTATCGATAAAACTCCCTATTATTTCAACCACTTGCGCTATATTTTTATAGAGATAGAGTAAAACACTAGTTGATTAATCAAAAAACAAATCCAATTATTCTGCGTTTTAATGAAATCTAAAGCCACTCGTAAAGTTTTTTTCTTTAGAACTGGATTCGATTGCCAATTAATGTTTTTTTTTTTGTGATGAAAAACAAATGCATTGAACAGAAGGTTGTTTAGTTAAGTTCATCCTGTGCAAAAATAAAATCCCATTGTGGAAATACCGTTTTTTTTAATTCAATCAACATATAAACAATCCTTCAATCTAGATAATTGTGCTACAAAAAAGAAAAATCAATTTGATTCGAAAACTCCTATCCTCGCTAAATTTTTTCTTTGGTTAATTGAGAGTGCACCAAGTTCTTTGTAGAAATGATGGAATATAAATCGCAGTTGAACAATTCGCAAGTCTGGTTGATGAAACGCAGAATTTTAATACCTCAAGAGGACAGTTTATCAAAATACATATTAAATTGCTTAATTGACCAAATTTGATATTATTATTTTTGGCAGTGAAGAACTGAGGCTCATTCCTCTTTTTAACAGCGAGGCTACGTTTTTTACTTCCATATATCATCTCCTTGAGTGTCAATTTCCTATAAAATTTTTATTTTTTTATTTTTTATTTCACAAATTCAGTCATACTTGAATTAAAGAAAAACGCCAGCACCTCTGTCGAACAAGTCGCTAAAAGAGAGGTTCACGACGTGATGGGCAAGACGTAACAACAAAGTCAGTGCCACAAAGTTTAAATGCTTTTGGCGTGAAAAGATGATCTTTTGATGAAACTCATAGGATTGTTTGTGCAAATTTAAAAATTTTTTGAACGCGATTTTATCTCAATCAAAGTAAGTATTTTTTTTTTTTTTTATAATTTAAAAATAATGATAATAAAATAAAGAAGGTGCTCTTACCGATTCGAGGAAGTTCCCCTTTACTTCTTCTCCAGGTGCCGCACACTTCCTGCGGCGGGGGTGGGTGAACCGGCCCCACCGCGGCCTCCTTGGCCAGCAAGGCCTCGTGCTGCTGACACATTTCAGCCTCGACCTGACTTCTGCGCTGCGTGGGCAGGTGTCGGTGCGGCCTGACAGTGGCAGGGGCGCTGATGACGCTCAACTCGACCGACGGCTTTTCCTCCTCAGGGGCTGGCGGCTTGACGGCTGCTCGCGGCCGGCTCGAGCGGCGTTGCCGGCAAAGTACGGTGGCCACGGCTGCGAATAGGCAGCACAGGGCCAGCGAGGCTACGGCCACAAGTGCACCCAAAACTAGAGCGGCAGGTTGAGCCACTTCGTCTACAACTGTGTTGCCTAAAAAAGCGGGTTTATTTCTTTAAAAATTACTGGATACAATAAAGATGTCTTATTTTTCAAATTCTATGATTTTATTAATTGATCAAATCCGCGTTTAATGTAATCTCTCAAAAAATAACTTTCTTTTTCTCAGCCAAATCAACAGCAAATTATCTGTTAATATTATTATTATTAATTCTTCAATTTATCAATGATGTTTGATGTTTCTGTCTTTACATAATAGTATAATATATCACCAACCGAAAATATTCTAAGTCCAAAAATAGTATCCAAATGGGTTTCGCCTTTTAAGTTACACAAATATCAGAAAATTTATTCTTTTATTTGAAACTCATTTAAGTACAACTTCAACTTAACTTAGAGAATTTTACAAAACAATTTGGAATGTGGTGCGTGACATTAATATATTATAATGAATAAAAATTTAAATTTAAATGAATAATTCAACAAAATATAAAAAATAATAAGTATAAGTCTATGTTTCAAATAATATAATATATTTACTTGGAAAATATTTAATTTTTAAATGTTTTGTAATTTGTATGTCACATTCTTTCTTTTTCATTCAATATTTTTGAAAAGATGGTTCCTACCTGTGCTAGCCAGTCGGTGCTCCTCCGAAGCAAACACCCTGACCTTGGGCAGAAGCACGACTTCACTCTTGCCCCTCGCGTTGGCCGCGTAAACCGACAAATCGTACTTCCTCCCCGGGTCCAAGTTCTCCAGGAAAAACTTAGGCTCCGGAGAAACGACCCTGCTGATGGGCGTCAGCCCGGCAGGTCCGTCCGCCTGCACGGCCGCTCCCACCGACACCACCTGTTCGTCCGAGTCTTCCGAGTCCGGATCCGAGTCGTCCCTCCGCCTGTCTAGAGGGTTGTTCCTCGCTTCGGACACCTCGAGGACAAAGTACTGCGGCAAACCGCCGTCCTCGCCAGCAATGCAGACCACTTCAAGACCTGAGGGCGCCGAGCTGCTGTTGGTGATGGTGCATTGTTCCGGGGGCCGCGGCGTTTCTGTCAGGTCAACACGGGCAAAAAGGGTGCCCATAATTATAAGTGGCGTGAAAGCAAAATAAAAGATAACGTGGAAAGTAATGTAAAGGTCATATCACTATAATTAGAGGTACAATTTACGAGTGATGCCGAAATTAATTACAAAATTTGAAAATGTTCTTTACTTAAAGGATCCCAATCTAAAAACTTGAAGTCAAATTGATGAGTTAAAAATTTTAATGTAAATTGGATTATTAAAAATAGATATTAAAACAGTGTATAATACAGAAAGTAAAAACTATTGGAATATTTAAGAAATTTCAAATAATTATTCATAAAAATGGTACAGATATTTTATCATTTATCCATCACAAATTTATTTCTGCCTGAATTTATTTTAATCAGTCAGAAAGGATTTATTTTTATTCTCAGATTGATATTAAGAGCAAAATATAAAGAAAAATTTATAAATAATAGATTTCCAAAAAGTCTAATAATTTATATTAATGACATTGAGTAAATTAACTTCTTTTTCATCTTAATTTGAACGATTTTTAATAATGAATTTTTTTTTTTTATAAATTATACCGGTTGAACCACGTTTTTATGCTTTACTCTGAATTGCATAATTCAAAATTAAGTTTGCTGTGGGAGTGGGAGTAAATTAAAAATTAGTTAAAATATTCCAATACAGAATGTTTGATGTTATTGCATTTTGATAAAATCATAATAAAGACACTTTGCAATAACTAAAGAAAATTATTTTGCCTCAGCTAATGCTGAATTAATTGATATGAAATTAATTTTATAATATTTGGCCAATTTCACCAAATTCATTGATTTTATTTATATCTGATAGCAAATAAGAGAAAATAAACTGTCCAACACTATTCCCAAATGTAATTGAATTTTTTTCGCTTCTGCAGCAAAAAATCAGATCAGGTTTCATTCCGTGTCTCAATCAGAGATAGAGAGAAGTTCACCTTAATCCAGCAGCGTAGGATCGGCCGAACCAGCTGCAGTGCAATTCAGTTTTAATCTCGGCAGCCGAGCTGAGAAAGGCAAAAAGAAGGCGGAATCCGCGCGCGGTGTGTCGTCGGGAGGAAAAAAGTTGGAGAGAGCAAAGGTGGAAATGGTGCCGATTGCCAGCCTGATTTGATCGGAGGAAAAAGAAAGTGAAAAGGTGCGAGCGAGCAGAGAGACCAGAAATGCTGATCTCGCACTGGGATGTTTGCGCTCTCTTGTCATGGAAATGGAGTTTCGCAAATAAATAAATAGAAAACGGGCGATGCAGCGAAAGAAAGAAAGAAAGGGAGAGTCGTCGGAATTGTTATTTTCTTGAGCGGAGCAGCTTGAATTTTAAATCTCTCTCGAGTGACATAAAGGGAAATTTGTGGGCTTAACAAAACTCGATGGGGCTGTTGTTTGCCGGCGCTCTCGTCACACTATAAAAGGACAAACATTATCATCACTCCACGGGGGCCTCATTTATCTTGTCTTTATACAAACGCCGCGCGCGCCTCGAAATAAAAAGCAGCGCCCGTGAAAAGCGCAAATATAATAACACGGGGCCTCTCTCTCGTCCCGGTATTGAAGAAATGAAAAATGACATCGAGATGGAGGTGCTTGTTATTGTGCGGGTGTTCCTCCGAGGACCAAAAAAATATATAATCTGCCCCCGGCGGCTGCAGTGAATCAATCTTTCATATTTCACCTTTGCTGACTGCTTTTCTCGGGAGCGCGTGAGCTATTACACGTTTTTGCCGATTCCGAAATTGCCACGAAAAAGTAGCAACGCGCGAGAAAATTGCTGCCGCGCTCCTGTTTGCTCCGTATGATGTATGAACTCTTTCAGCCCGGCCGCCACTTTGTGAACAAGCGCAGACTGTATCGAATCGCGAGCAGATAGAGTGGCGTGTTTTGCCCAAATTATACAATGGCACCCCCGTCTCAATCTAGAAAGTATATTACCTCCGGGAAAATACTAAATTTTATCAATATATTTAAACTTGTGATATATTTGTATGTTGGCTCCTGAATTTAAAGTTAAAATGTTAGTTTACGGCAAGTTAAAATTAGGGAGGAAAAAAATAAGAAAAATACTAATATGAATATTATTTTTAAATTACTAAGTCAAAGATTTAACATAAAACATGTTAAATTTTTTACTTTAACATTTTTTTGTTTCCGTCAACATATGATTTTCTGTTATAACCATTTAATAATTAATTTATTTTATATTTTGTTTGAAATGCAAAGTAATTATTTTACCTGCATATAATTGTATTAAAATAAAACAGTATAGTTGTGTAAAGGACAAAAGAGGTAGAATGTTTAATTTTTAATATAAACCATCCTGGTTTGCATTTTTGACAAACGGATAAATATAATATAATTGTGCATTTTAAATGGTTGTGTGGTACCTGATGAGTGATGAGCATTATTCCATAAAATATTTATAATTACATAATCATACGACTATATCTATTAATCATTGAATACAAACCGTCAATTACTTTACAAAATCTAAAATTTATGTGAAAAAATTAGAAAAAAAAAATTAAAATTCCCAAGATAAATTAAAATGAAAAAAAAAAACTCAGAAAATCTTAATAATTTCTTTAAGAAAATAATGTTAAAAAAAGTCGTTACCAAATTCAAAGCAGGAATGATTGAATTCGTCAAGGTCCATTGTAAATTTCTGAGAGTGTAATTTTACAAAATACAATTAATTATCCTATTTAAATTTAAATCTTCAGAGCTTAGAATTGAATTCTATTGTGTGAGACGAAATTACAAATCATTTTCCGCTTCTGTGCAAAATGATGAAAGGATGCTCTAAAACTGAATGCAGGTTAAACCGTGTTTCTATTTGAGATTTTCGATTATACAATCGCTACGAATAGAGCAAAACGCAAAACGACACCCGCCAAATCGGAATAATGAGGGCGCATAAAATCACTACAGAGCGCGTCGTGCTGTTCGGGCATAAAATTTAATATTATTTAAATTTATTTCTCATTTCGACAGCAGCGCGGCGTGCGCGCACTTTGTGGCTGAGTGCCATGATTTGAATTATGCAAAATGCTAGGATTTGCATCTGCGGGCGGAATTTCGTTGATTTTTTTTTTGTTTTTTTTTACGCGAATATAAATCAAAGCGCACCCGCATGCGATCGGACTGACAACACATTTCTGCCATTTTTCACTCGGCCAGCGGCAGACGTGCGAGGGAGAAAAAGAGAGTGAGCGAGATTTCAATTTGGCCCAGCAGCCGCACCGCATTAATCGCTCATCCGCGACTCCATCAGGGCCTCCTCTGAAGGGGCCTGCTTATTTATACAAATAACGATGAGAAAACAGTTGAATTTTAAAATAGACCAAACAGATTTTCAATAATTAGTAACTTAATGACTGATCACTGAATGGAGAATAAAAGAAACGGTCAGATTCAAATTATTGTTTAATATTTAAAAATTAAGATAATTCTAATAGAATACCCGGAATACCCGGTTTAAATTTTTTCATTCAGGTATGTAATTGAATGAAAAGAAAAAACCTTAATACTTTTACACTCTTTTGCTATATAAATTTGAAACTTCCTAAGAATTTTAAATATGATATTAATTGTTGATATTTATTTTTAAAACTAAAATTGTTTTAAACACTTAATATCCTTTAAAAAATATTTTGCAGATTTTCTAATAAAAATCGGAAATTAATTTGTGCACTAAGAGCATGAAGATGATAATTGATTATATAAATTAATATTTTAATAAAAGTTTATGGAGGAAAAACAATCAATTTTTGTTATGAATGAAAAACCTTATTTTAATTAATAAGTTGAAAAGTCTCCCGTTGAAAGTAAAAGGTCTAAGTTGATAATCATTCATTCTCTGCGGTATGATTTTAATTTTTACTGTACTAAAGAGAATACTTTTGAATCGACAAAAATTATTCCATGAAAGACGCTTTTTATTCGAAATTTTGTTAAGCTTTTCTCATTCTTTCGTTGTGAGAATTTCTAACAACAAAAAACTTTCACTACAACAGGCCCGTCAGCTGGTTGTTCTCCATCACACGTACTGGAAAGTTGAAGCCGTTTGATCCTAAAAAGGCTCTTTATATATCTTTGCGTGGCTCCAAAACTCATCAATCAATTAACCCCCGGCTGCAGTAAAAATCGAGGGCGTGATTTCCATCAGTCGGCGCGGCGGCGGCGGCGAAAGTCAAAGTATCAATAACGTTCAAAGTTAGCTCAGGCCAGATGCAGCTCATTTAATTGGCGTTCGGAGAGTGATGTATGGGCCAAGTTGGCGCCCAACGCAGCCCCACTCGAAAAGGGGTGCCTTCGCCTCTCGAGGGACAGCTTCGGCCCCTCGACGCCGCTCGACTTGGGCAGTTCTCCAGAAGGGGGCCGACGATACAATGCGAGACTTAGGACCTGTCGGCCGGCCTGTTATTAGCAGCTTATCTGAACGACCTGATCTTTATGGATTTATAGCGCGTTGCGCCAACATCTCTCTTTCCCGGGGATGGCGCATGTGCTGCCCAAACCATAAATCTGCGGCCGCCGCAAAAATCGCCTCCTCTCCTCCGGGAGCGAGCGCGGCCAATTTTTTACTCAAAACTTTTATGTCCGATTTTTAGGACGCGCTTTATCGGCGACTGAGATTCTATTGAATCGGCAAATAGCTTTATTGTGAGCTTTGTGTGCCCGAGAGATTTATGTGTCAGTGCTGGTGGATAAGGTTTTTGCCGCATCGCAGAAATTAGAAGTTGAAATTATATGTACCGCAGCAATATAACAGTCTCAGTGACAATGAAATCGCCAGCGTTTCACTTGCAGCTTATAAAGAAAGTATTTATTTTTGGTGCCTTTCTTATAGGAAAAATTTTCCTAATTATTTAAATAAAATTAATGATCCGATTTGGTTTTTTCAAACGGCGTTTAAAATTACTTGATTGTTGAAAAGAGTCTGGATTTAAAAGAATCAAAGTTTTGATTGAGTTGAAAAAAATCATGTTTATATTTAATATTTTATTTTTGTCTTGAAAAATTGAATGGGTCGTTCTGATTTTAAAATAACTTGCATCAAAATGGCGCAATTAATATTAAGATTTGTTCTCAAAATGAATTTGTAGTGAATCATAAAGTAATTTATCCACCAGTCTGCTAATTCTAGAAGAAATTGAGATTTTATCATTTTTGGAAGGTTTGATTTAAGAACATGGACTTGAATTGAGAAAATCTTGACCATAAACTAGAAATAATTGAAATTTGATCAAAATTGTTTCATTCAAAATAAATTTACGGTTAAGAAAAGCATCTTTTTAGTCCATTGGAATGCCCATGAATAAATTTAAGATCAAAATATATGATCTAATTTATTCAAACTGTTTAAAACACCACTTTAAAGCCAAATGCTTTTCAAACAATTTGTAGAAAACTCTTTTTTTTAATATTAATGAAATCTGAAGTTCCCTGCTTTTTTCAGTTTGAACGGGTGGAAGATTGAGTTTTATAAAATAAAATAAAAATTATCACTTTAAAATCAGTTCTTTGCCAAATAACCGGTTGGAAATTTAATTTAAATGCAAGTAATTTGAGGCTTTTTTTTCTTTTTGAAACTGATGCGAAGAATTTTATATTTATCTCGCTATAGTAAATCTAGGACTAAAGTAATTGCAAAAAAGAATTGCCTTCCGATTAACTGGGCTAAATTTCTTTAACATCTTTTTAAACCTTACTGCTGCACCGAATCACCTTCAATCGTACGCTTGCCAAACGAATTCCGCCATCAAAATAAAAAGACAATAAACCAAAGTTCCGGCCATAAAAATCCGGCCTTTTTTCTGACGAAAAGTAATAAACCGGCATCACTCGGCGTCAAAAGAGGATTACAAGAGAAGTCGATACTCACTCGCAGGCACAATGTGGAACAGACAGGGCACCTTCTGCCGGCCTATGGAGTTGCTCGCCCAACACGCGAGGGTGCCGAAGTCGACGTCGCTCACGGGCGTGTAGTCGAGGGTCGAGGTGAGTCCGCTCGAGTGCACCCGCGCCCCAGGAACGTGCAGGACGTCCCTAGAACGATTGTAGGTCCAGCTGAACCTCACCATGGGCGGGTCGGCTTCCACCTCGCAACGCACGCCGATCGTCTCGTGCCGAAGGGCTCCCATTTGCAGCTGACCCACTCCCTTGCAACCAGGGGCAACTGCAACAAAATATTTGTGGAATTAATAAAATAAAATTTAATAAAGGAAAATATTGGTTTTATTCTTGATTTAAAGTAATGAAATATGTAATTACATGAATTTTGTTGTAATATAAATATCAAATTCAAATTAATAATTTTGCTTATCATTATTATGAAAAATACAAATGAAAGAGCAAGCTAGATTCCTCGAACGAAGAATATCATATTGATTTGTCAACACAGAATTAGTATATAACAATGTTGCTAAAATTATAAAATCTTAAAGGTTTGAAATTTCTTTAAAAGAAATTTAACACTAACCAGCAATATAATTAATTTTATCAGTAAAAATAGTAAATAAAAATAATTTGAAAATAAAAAAAAAGTTTTATGATAAAAAATAATGCAAAAAAAATTTAACAAATGTGCTAACAATAATAGAAAACTAGTATTATATGTATATATAAATTATAACTGATTCTCTTATTTAAAAGAAGAAATTGCCAATATTTACAAAAAAATCTTGGATTGATGGTAAAATAGAAATTAATCACAATTTTAAACATTATTCAAAAGTATTATTATTTTTTAAAGTCAAAGAACATCTAATATATGGAAATTTGGAAGCAATATCAAATTAAAATTTGATAAATTATGGATTTTATTATAAAAAATCTGCTTTGCTGAAATGTTTGTTTAGAATTCTGACATGAAATTTTGAATGAAATATTTGACTAACGTTTTGAAAATTATTTAACACCTTAAAAACTTCTGTTCCCTATAGATTATATAACCATTTCAATGAACGTGCTTTTTAATTTTAAGCGCTTTAAATTCCTTTAAATAAATATTAATTTTTGTTGGAATTCCAACAGAGAGTTGAATATTCAAAAGTGTTTTTAAACTCCTTGCCTACCTTGAAGAAAAAAAAAAACGTTATTTGGAATTACAACGTTATAGTTTTCCCTCCAATTTTATGAAAATGGCTCAAGTCTAGTCCTGTCAAAGCAGCGTCCATTTAGGAATCTAAGGTTCGCTGGCCGGTCGATCTCCGCCCCATATTTTTATCGTAAATCCAAACGACGCATGAAGACCGTGGTGCTCAGCGAAGCAAAACTGCGCTCGGACGTGATGAATAATTGATTAGAGCGGGAGGTGCGGTCGAGAAGCGAGAGAATATAATTTGCGAGCTGAAAACGTAAACAAAGCAGCCGCCGAGCCGAGATAGGCTTTTGCCGAGTCATCACTCGAGCTGCGGCGGCCAAAGAGAGCCAGGCAGAGTAGCTGAGGTTGTGTGTGATGTGTTTTATTACGTTATGCGCGTTTCTCAAAGGCTTCGACAAAAAGCGAGAGGGCCACTGCTTTTCTTCTGCAGAGCCAACGCATGTCATATCTCTGCGACACAGCGGCCTAATTAAGCTGTCGTGTTTCCCCTTTGGAAACGCGCTCAACCCTTCTCTCTCAACTGCTTTTTTCCCCGAGATATGTGTTTGCCAAATAACAACGGCTATTTTTCCCCGGTTAAACGTGAGCCTGTAATTTGGCTTTTACTTTGACCAGTGCTTTCTGTTTCTTCTCAAAGGGCAAATAAACAAGGTTTTTTTTAACGATTTTGTGTGTTAAACTGGTATTTGCTTGAAAGTTTGTAACTCACAGAGAACTTTGAGGTGGGCAGGTTCGCTTCTGGAAGAGCCTTCGCTGTTCGAGGCCACGCACTGGTAAGCGCCGGCAGCAGACCGAGAAACGGATTTGAGCAAAAGTCGCTTGTCGCCCATGATGACGCCTTTTTCCGCGTCCTGCCAAAGTGGATTTTCCTGCAGACATATTGGAAAGAATGTTAATTAGTGTTATTTAATGATAAAAACGATACAAGAGTTTCTTTATTTTCCCAATTTCATCAAAATCTTAACTAATGCACTAATGGTGATGCCATTTTATCGAACAGTGCAAATTTATCCTCTCAACAATTTATCACCAGTGATATTTTTCCATATTTCAATTATTTAACAATTACGCTAATAAAGAACAAAAATAATAATTAAATTTTTTTCTGTAATTTTTTTACAGAATTAATCGTTTCCCTGAATTATCCTTTAGTTGTGGCGATTTTGAATAATTATATAATTTTTTGCTTTTATTTCATGGTAAAAATTTCAGGCCCCAATATTTGAAACGGTCTCGAGATTGATTAATGCAAAAAAAATTCAATTAAAATCATGTATCCTGAAAAAATTGTGACAAGATCTCTTATGTGAAATTAAACGCCAAAATCAAAACAGACTTTCGATATCAGATTTTATAATTGATTACTCAGAAATGATACAACTTACAAAGATCAATTGTCCATTTGTGTTTTCGAGTCATTTCTTTATTCACCCCTTTTTCCAATATTCTTCTCATGTATTTTAAGTTTTTTCTTCATTTATTTTAAGTGTTGAATTGATGAAAAATATTGTGCATTTGGATGCATTGAAATGGAGAGTAAAAAAGAGTGAGCGAATTAAAAAAATGAATAATGCCTGTCTCATTTCCAGTTTATTAATCAAAAAAAATTTAAAATACAAATTTTAATTAAAATTCAAACTAGAAGTTGCTTCCATAAAAAAAGTAAGAAAAATAAGTAAAGTGCTATATATTTATTGCAACTTTTTTCATATTTAAATATTTTTACTCTCCGTGCTTTCTGCACACATGAATAGCAGCTGACTAAATTTTGCAACTAAAATATGGGCGAACAATGATTGGGGCAATAAATCTAAGGGGAAACGGCGCGCACAATAAGTGTGTCGCTGGGCTGTCGCATAAAATTTTATGGCTGCAATCAATAGATCATTGACCACATCAGACAAGCAGTAAAATTTACAGCGCACCAGTTTTGACAGTTGCACACACGGCGGCGGCGGCCACGTTTGCATAATGAACTACAACGTATTAGTTACGGCGTCGAATATTATCTGGCGCTGCAATTTAATGGCGCTCGCGGCGGCGCGAAACGTGTAACGGCCCAACCGAGGGCCGTTACCACCAAAGTGCAACACATTGAAGCAGGTAATATGAAATAATATTGCCAGTTTGATGCTCGGCAATCATGCCCGGCGTAGAGAAATGCTCTTGTGTTTTGCTATCATTGGATTAACGATTTAATGAATATTTATTCCACAGCCTTTGTGATCCAAGCTATACATTTTAGTGATGTCATGCTGCAATTTATTTAAAAGCCACTCGCGTGCAATATAATTTATTCAGAAATTCATACAAAAAGACAAAATTTTGTCCGCGAAATCATAATCATATTGAGAAATTCTGACTTTTAAGGGAAACAAGGCTTATTCAATGGTTCAAAATATTTGAAAATTTACCATCCTTCTCATGATTGCGAATTTTTCAATCGTGATTTATATATTTCAGTAATGAAATTTTGTGTGTTCAAATTCAAAGGATAAAAATCAAATTAGGAAAGGAACTTTAACTCAGGAATATCATGAATAGATGATATAAATTGTTAAAGATGGCAGCAAAATTAAAATCAATGGCTCTGGTAAAATAAAAATTATTTTTTGATCGTGGAGCTGCCTGGCTTTTTGTACATGCTCTCGCTTGCATAGCACAGTTTGTATGAATGTATATTGAATTTAATTGTTTCTTTTTTTAATTGCACGTGAACAATTTAATGGAAGTGAAGAACTCACAATCAGGCTTTTCACCTTACTTTAAGATTTTGATTGTTAAAAAATGCTGTTTTTTAATTCGCTCTTTTTGTTTTGGTAATTTTCTTGCTTATTATGAAATAGGGTCACAGACCGTGACAGAAACTGCTAGAGCCGATTTGTTTTTTTAATAAAAAAAAAAAGATTTAATCACTAGGAAAGCCTGAGTTCTTTACTTTCATGATCATCTCCTCGAGTGTCAATTTCTTCAAAGAAAACAATGCAATTTAAGCATGACAGTGACGGTTTTTGGGGCCTGATCGGAGAGGAATTTTTCAAGAGGAGTGTCGTTCTCACCAAGAAGCTGTGCCCAAGGGTTTGAATCTTCTTGTTTACACTTTTGTTGCTTAATTTTGTTTTTGTTTTAAATTCAATAGTTTTTGTTTTGCAATTTAATTACAAGAATTACAAAGACGTGTGGCTTTCGGCACTTTTTACGTTGTTTAATTAATTGGCCTCATCAGTCGTTGAATAGGTTCTTGTGGCTCCAAATTCACACCACAATAGCCCCTCGCTCCACCTAGCCGCGCCATTTTTATCCAATTTTTACTAATCCAGCAGCTCAACTCACAATCAGAGAGAAGGAGTTCTACCCTATCCATTTTCCACCCTCTCATTCATTGCCTTTACTTTTAGAACAAATTCAAAAAATACACTTTCCTGCACTTTTATTTTAATTTTTTATTCAGTCCTTATTCCCATTCGTTCATTATTTTACAATATTGAAAAAAGGCTCCAATATAAATTCTCAATTCATTCAAACTTAATCTTTGGCGGTTCCCCGTGATAATAATTTTCCGTGCGCCATCGCCGGAAAGAGGAGAAGGACGCGCGCTCTTCGTCAAATGGTCGGAGCTTTTTATGTGGGCGACAAAAAGGCGTGCCGTAAAATCAGTTATCTGGCGTGTGTGCAGGCGCATTACGAGAGAGCTCGCGCTTTTATACCGACTGCGAGCGACCGATTAAAATCTTTATGCTCTTAATTGGTATGGATGCCCGCCTGCCGGAGCCCCATAAAGCCGGCGCAAGACGTGTGTTATAAAGGATCTCCTATATCAGCACGTCAAGCGGGTCCTGTCTTCGCTTCCTCACTCGCCGGCAGTAAACTTTGATGTATTTAATTAAATTAATGTCGGGCTGTAATTTTTATACATCGGACGATAAGAATTCCAAACGTGCGATACGCCATCATTGCCGCAGTTGAAAATCAAAACGCAAACCTTCATGCATGATTATAATTGAATCACTTGACGTAGTTTATTTAATTCAGCTGGAATATAACGCAATAAAAACTTTTATTATCAAAATTATTTAATATAAAAAAGAAGACATTTTGATAATATTGTAATTTGTTTAATAATATCGTAGTTAATTGCATCTATTTTCAACTCTCTGTTGTTAATAATTTGCTAAAATTTTATACTAAAAGCCAGACAAATGCGTTCACGTGTGTTTAATCATTTCACTTGACCGGATTTATTAGATCAAACGGCTACAGTTGCGGAAAACAATGAACGAAATTGTGTTAGCAGGAACGTTCAAAATTTGTTGTTTGTGCATTGATGATCAAATGTTTGCGCCATAAAAAGTAAACCTGCCCGGTGTTGAAATCAGCCGAGTGCAATCAAATCACCAATTATTTCGAACAGACTGTTTGCTGTTGTAAAATATTAAATTAATCACCTGCATGCGCCGTTGAAATTTCCCTTTGAAGTTTGGTTTTGCTAAACTCTTCTAATATTATTCAAGTGCTGATAAGTTTGGTGTATTAGTGTAACAATTATAAAATAAATGCAGCTAATAAAATTAACTAATTTTATTTTAATAAATTTCTTTACTAATTTTAAAATATAATAAACTGTGTTTATAATTTTTAACATTTATTAAACATTAAAATTTTTACTAATACCATAATATTTTTATTTTTTGTTTTAATACAATTTTTAATTTATATTAAATTTATAATATTTAATTGAGTAATTTTGTATGAATAAAAATTATTTTGAATCAAATTATAAAGTATATATAATGTTGCAGTTGAAGAATTAGAAACCATTCACAGAAAATCTTCTCATATAAATCTAGCCATCTGCTCCTCACCTGCTTATCTGTACAAGTTGATACAAGTTTGATTCGCGATATAATTCTAACCTCACTAGGTTGCACACTTAATGAAAATTTCCAATTCAAAACATGCAGATTTTGATGAAATCACGTCCTCGGTCTTTGATATGCAACTTATAATAACCCAAGCATTAATAACAAAACAAGGGCGCGGCAAAGTGAGGCTCGTCGCATTTTGCATGGCTGATTATTTCCAGCTAGGGCGCTTCTCTTTCTTGTCATAATTGGATGCAGGTGGATTTTAAATGTAATCTTTCACAGCGCCTGATCGTAAATTTAATAATGAAACTTATTTGCATACACTGCTGAGCCGGCGCTCATGCATAAAGGCTTACGTGGCGGAGCAGTTTAATGTGCGCTGCCAGCCAGAGAGCATATTATATGTGTTTCCAAATTCCAGCACGTCGACGGCCCGGGCGCCTGAACCAGCCAGGCAGGGGTGTTTGTGACGCAATCACCGAAAACGGCCCCATTGATCCCCACATAATTAGCCGAGTGTAAGGTTTCCATTCGAGCTAGAATATCAAAGAATATAACTTACTTCATCTCCTCTTTTGCCGGAGAAAGTTTTGAATATTGTTCGAGCTGGAACAAACTTCGGCAACTCCTGCGCGAAGTGCGATATATAGAATTCACCCCAGCCTTGAAAACACACGCCTCCCCCTGGAGCTTAAATGCGGCCGATATTTGGCGTTGAGACGCTGCCAATGACGAGCCCTCCATTATTTGACGGTTTGCTGTTGTTGGATTTGAATTTATAATTAATTAGGGTTGTGCAATATTTTGCTTGGTTGGATATTAAACGGAATGGTTTTGAGCTCAGCATGGAAATTATTCGATTAAACAGCGATTCCAAAGCTTTCATTCCGTCAAAAGCATAAATTTTCACTTAATAGAGTCTGCCTCTTTATAATGACTGTTTTATTTAAATTTTAAATATTGACAAAATTGATTAAATTCAAGATAAAATTGTGACTATAAGT